AATTGGAAGTCTGATGTATGCCATGGTTTGTACCAGACCAGATATTGCTCGAGCAGTGAGAGCTGTTAGCAGGTACATGAATAATCCAGGCAAAATACACTGGGAAACAGTCAAATGGATCCTCAGATATCTGCGAGGTACCACAAACAAAGCACTTTGTTTCAAAGGTGGAGATACGATACTGACAGGCTATGTAGATGCTGACTTAGCCAGAAATGTTGACATCAGAAGGAGCACTACAGGGTATGTCTATACTCTAGGAGGAACCCCAGTGAGTTGGGTTTCTCAACTACAGAAGATAGTTGCTCTCTCCACAACCGAAGCATAATATGTCGCTGTTACGGAAGCCAGCAAGGAGATGGTCTGGCTCCAAAGTTTCTTGGAAGAGTTAGGCAAGAAACAAGAAAACAATGTCTTGTATTGCGACAGTCAAAGTGTTATCCATCTAGCGAAGAATCCGTCTTTTCATTTCAGGACGAAGCACATACAATTGCGATATCATTTTATCTGGTCTCTTCTGGAAGATGAGATTTTGAAACTTGAAAAGATCAGTGGAGCTCAAAATCCGGCAGACATGTTGACAAAGACGGTGACCACGGAAAAACTGAAGTTGTGTTCAGCTTCAGTTGGCATGCTAGAGTAATAAAACTAGAAATGATGCTGCATCGATCGAGGTCTGAAGACAGATTAAAATCAGTCTTCAAGTGGGAGATTGTTGAAAATTATAAAGGCACATGGGCTGCTAATGAATTAGCAGCCGGCTGCCTTGAAAAAGAATGGGAAAGTGCATTTTTTAGTCCTTTGCAATTTATGGTATTTACAAGATTAGCCCTTAAGTTTCAACTATAAATACCCTAGCTCATTTAGCTTCAAAATCATCCCAAAATCTTCTAGTTCTCTCTCAAGTGTGTTGTGTAAACACCTGTAAATTTTTCTTAGTAAAAGATCTGCAACAGCCCGGAGACGTAAGCACAATTGGTTGAACTCCGTTATCAATTTTGGGTATTATTTTTCCGCTTTTATTTCGCATTCTCACTAATTTGGTTATAGGGAAATTACTCGTACTCGGTTTATTTCCTAACATGAAGCGGGTAAACTGTTTGTTGAAATGCTCGACGGAGTGTCATTTCTTGGAACTCTATAATTTATGCGCATGTTCAAACTGGGAAGTTCCGTAAAGCTTTGGGTTTGTTTCTTGAGCTTCATAGGTCCGAAATTTGTTGCAATGAGTACTCGTTTTGTGGTCAGCTGGATTTTTGCATTTAGGCAAGTCAATTCACTCCAGCGTTTTGAAGTTTGGCTTTGAATGTGCAATTGTTGTTGGGAATTGCTTGATTGATTCGTATGTAAATGCGGGGCTGTGGGCGACGCCAATTTGGTTTTTGACAGCATGATGATAAGGATATTATTTCGTGGAATTCGGTTTTAGCGGCCTGTGCTAATAATGGAAACCTTGAGCAAGCCTTTAGTGTATGGAGTGAAATGCCGGTCCGTGATACTATATCTTACAATGAATTGATCAGTGGCATTGCTCAGTTCGGAAACATAGATGATGCGATCGGTATTTTACTCGATACACTGAGTCCAAATTCAGCTACATGGTCTTCGATTCTGACCGGATATGTTAATCGAAACCGACCACGGGATGCTCTCCGGTTTTTCAATAAAATGCACTCCAATGATGTTCAAATGGACAATTCTCATTTTCAATCATCCTAAGCGGAATTGCAGGTCTCTCATTTTCAATAAAGCGTGGTTTGGATACATCTGTTGTTGTGGGAAGTGCTCTCATTGACATGTACTCCAAATGCGGGCACGCTAAGAACGCGGAGTCTATGTTCCGATCATTACCGAGAAAGAATTTGGTGACTTGGAATGCTATGATCTCCGGTTATGCTCACAACGGCGATTTGACGAAAGAGATCCAGCAGTTCGAGCAGCTCAAAACTCAAAGGGACTTGGAACCCGACTGGGTCACACAACGAGATGCCGCTTCAATCAAAGTTGATTGAATTAATTATGTTTATGTAATGATGTCTAACGTTTTTGTATACCATCAAAAATGGAGGGAGATGAGTGCAATGAGAAAGCTCACGAGGGACCAAAGAGTAATAAAAGAAACTGCTTGTAGTTGGATCGAAATGGAAAATGTCGAGTGATAAAAGAAGCTGCGTGGTTTGTGATTGTCTCCTTTTACCATGGTCACTTGATGCGTTTATTGATATTCATGAGTTTAATACAAATCAAATTCATGTGTATTTGTTAAGAATAAATGTTGGACCGACCCGTTTGTAATTAATAAATGGATAAAAATCTTAAACATTGCCAGTTGTGTCAATAAATTATTAGACTTCCAAATCACTATAATTATCGATATGAAAAAAATCGTGTTTTTAACATGATTAAATGTTATCTTTAACCAAAAACTATAAAATTTATATTTTAACTTAATAAGAATCATATAGCGAAAGAAATAATAGTTAATTACGTTTAAATTAACTATACTATAAATATTCATATTAGATTAATTATAAAATTTAAAAATAAATGAAAATCAATTCAGGATTACATAAAAAATTTAGAGATTAAACTGAATAAAAAGTTAGAAAAGATTTAACATTTGATTTATCTTTTTATCAAAGGCTATCTCATTTTTATGTGATCAAAGGGAAGATGTTATTTCTAGAGGTATTAATTCAAGCAGTTCCATTTGTAATTGTGTAGGTGTTGTCAATAATTAAAAAAATATACCTTATAATCACCTCGTATTATTTTTAAAAAAAATCTTCAATTTAATAAATAAATTAATAAAATTACAAATTTATTTACTTAAAGGACCAAAGAATTGTTTTCAAAAAAATTGTTTGGGTGTGAACTTTTTTTCTTTCTTCACCCATAAATAACCCTAAAAATAGAACCTAAACTATCACCAAGAGAATGAAGAACAGTAGCACTACCAAAGAAAGAGTCCAGTTTGACGATCTACAGACAAGTCCAGTTCCTTTGTTAGAAACATTATCGAATTCTAACAAAGAGCTGATCTCGAAGTTAGGGTTCGACCCATACAAAGCTTGAACACCTTCGACATCGTCAAGTTTCAGTTCCCTTCTTCTTCTTAGAGGACTCAAGCTCGGGTACATCACGGCGTCCTGGACCGAGCTATGACCCAACCCTAGAATATGACCGATCTCGTGAGTCGCTACCGACTCCAAGTCAACAGCCGACTTAGATTTCGCTTTCTTGAAATCTACGGCCCACGTTTCATCTTCATCGAAGTGAATCCTTCCGTTCTCCGGCGCAAATGAATGAGCTAACACTCCTAAGGCCCCGTCGCCGTGGTCGCCGCCGTAAAACCCGATTGTTATATCGGCTTCCTCGTGTTCTTGAACTTCCGTGAAGTTTATGGGAATCACCGAAGCCCATCTCGAGAACGAACGTTTGAAAACTGTTCGGATTTCCGGTAAGGTTATGTAGTTTATCATGTTCGAAGGGGAGAAGGCGGTTAACGTCATGGTCGTCGTCGTCGAAACCGAATCGTTGTTCCATCTGGGCATTCCGTTGAAATAGGCAATGTGTTTCGTTGCATGGATCTTCGCGGGGGAGGAATCGGAGACGCAGCACCTCGGCGCTATGATCGTCGATGTCGTGTCGGAATCGAGCTTCCCGGTGACCGGTAAGCCGAGTTTTCTCTGGTACAAGATAACGGCGGATTCAAATTGGGTGTCGTAAGCGCCAGTGAAACTTTCGTTTCGGACCGAGAGGTACCCGAAACGTTGGAAGTATTTCTTGAGTTCCGACATGCCGGAGATGACGTGGCTACCGTTTTCGGCGTCCTTAAAGCGAGTGAAGTTAAACCACGCGGCCCTGTGCGTATGTGTGTCGTCGGTAGTTGTGACAGTTATTTGCTCCGGTGTGATTCTGGCGGGAAAACAAGCACGTGGGAAAAAACAGAGGAAAAGGAACAAGAGGAGGATGAAATCGTAACGAAATAACGAAAACTGCATAGTTTCGGTCGTTAGTTGTGTCAAGATAACTTAAACTTATTTTTCTCGGTCAATACATATATATTAATTATAAAAAAAATATTTATATAAGATATATACAAATAAAATTTTAGGATAGTTACCTTCAATAAAATTAACAACTAACATAAAATTAATTCATTTAATATAAATATATTATGTATCGAATTCAAACTAGTTTTTAGGGTAAATAAACTATAAATTAAACTAGGATGAAATAGTCACTTTAGTCATCAACTTTCAAATAATATAAAATAAACATTAAATTTATCAAAATGTTAAAAATAGTTTTATAGATAATAATAAATTTTGATAAGTTTAATAATCTTTTTATAATATGTTAATAAATTTAATGAATCTTTTATAATAATTTAAAAAATTTAAAAATCATTTAAAAATTTTGATAACTGTTTTATAATATTTAAAAGTTTAATGATTAAAAAATCATTTTAACATAATGTATGATATATTAGCTTTTAGTGATATTACTAAGTTGACCCTGGCATTAACTAAACTTTCCCTCGTAATTATGGCATATTTTAAAAAACCGTTTGTCTTCTTCCTCGTTCATCAACTTCCCCATAAACACGCGGAATCTCACGCATCTCTCCCTCTAATCTCTAATTTTTCATGTTCTTTTTGTGTTTTAGTTTTTGTTGACGAAAACGAGTAAAGAAAATAAAAGAACACGAGAATTTTATGAGGTTCGACAATGTGCTTACGTCCTCGGTGTTTAAGCGGCGTTAGAAGTTTTATTCAATGATATTTTAGGTCTAAGTTACATCTTCATTTATAATAGAAAATCCTTGTACATAATTACAAAATCAACCTTGTACCGTACCGCGGGAGCTACACCCCGCACTCCCAACCCACATAATTCGTAACCCCACAACGAGACTTTCTTTGTAAGGACAGTTGATGTTCGTTTCGCTCACTCCGCTCCATCTCCTGTCCTCTTTACTGATATATTTATGAGCCATACCTAACAACTTTTGATATTGAGGTATCTATAAACAATATCGGAAGCCAGCATCATTTCAAACAAGCTTTGAGAGTGTGAAAACGACAAGATATGCTAGCATTTTCCGGTTGTTTCTTCGGAGGAGGAGACAAGGAGAGACACAAGCTCGGAGAGATACGAAAACGATGGGAAACATTGCCGGTGAGATACCGCCCTTTACGATTTTTGAACCATTTATAAACATTGCCCTGCATTTACTTAAATTGCACTTGTCCTCGTATTCGTGCAGGACAGCGATGCAGTTGCAGAGGGAAGGCGAGGTAAATGTCCGCTTACTCCCCATGAAGTAGGGTTGATGTTGAGGGCACTTGGTTTCCAAAACGACACATACATCTACGTTGCATCAGGAGAAATATATGGTGGAGAAGAGACTCTGGCACCACTAAGACATCTCTTTCCAAACTTGTATACAAAAGAGACGCTTGCACATGAAGAGCTGAAGCCTTTTCTTCCTCACTCTTCTTCCCTTGCAGCCATCGACTTCATTGTTTGCTACGAAAGCAATGCATTCGTCACCAATAATAACGGAAACATGGCCAAGATTCTCGCCGGTCGAAGGTGAGAAATCTAGTTGTTCCCGTCACATCTTAAGCAGCTTATTATATTTCTTTGTGTAATATCTCTGTTGTTTTTGGATTGGAAGGAGGTACATGGGGCACAAGAGGACCATAAGACCAAATGCCAAGAGGCTCAGTCCATTGTTGATGGAAAGGGATCAAATGGATTGGGATACCTTTGCCGAAAAGGTGAGGGAGGTTCAAAGAGGATTCATGGTAGAACCGGATGAGATGAGAGCCGGACGTGGTGAATTCCATGAGTATCCATATTCTTGTATATGCGAGAAGCCGGCAAGTGATATCGGCGGCAACGAGAGCAGAGATCATCGGTTTCAACAGTTTAAAGAAAATCAAGGATCCAGGAAGAGAAGCAACGAGGAGGAAAAAGAGGCAGTTGTAGGAGCCAAGGAGGATGAGCATGAAGAAGTGTTTCCTGACCAAGTGAACTACATTTATGTTATTTGAATGATTAATTTATTAAAAAATACTCTACAATGATACATGATTTTGACTCTTTTTTTCTGGTTAAATAGGGAATTTATTCTCAGATCTCTTATCACTTGTAATTAGAGATTATCGAAATATTTAAAATTAATATTTATAACTTGATCCAACTCTATAAGATCAATATTTCAAAATATTTTAATTCAAACATATTGAAATAGAAAATATTATATTTCAAAACATATTAAAATAGTTAAGAACGGAGTTGCATTTAAAACAATTTTTTTACCTAACTTCACTCGAAATAGTTATTATAATATCGATATACATATTTAAAGATAATTGTTATGATATTTTTCTTTATATTTATCTTTTCAATTATCTTTTTATCTTGTTGGATGAAAATAATTAGTCGGGTCGGGTTGAGACTAGAGCTGGTGCAAATAGGAGTCGAGACGATAATGAGAGCTCAGATTATAATTATAAACAAAATTAAGGGTAAAAAACAATTGAAAAATAAATATTATATAAATATACTGCTACATCTCAAAATCCAAATAACTGAAGAAGCAATTATGGTTCCTAGCTCTATCTGCCACGTCATAAATTACACTCTTTAATGTTGCCTGTTGCTCATCCAATTTCCCAAGAGACTGGATTCCCATGTCGCAAAACAGTTGCCTTCCTCTCAACCTTGGTTATTTCCTGTTATATAGGATACATTACACGCATGGTCGGTGAACATTCAACGAGAAGCAAGACGGAAGGAACGGAAAAGAGTACACTGATTGAAGAATACCGAGTGATAAGAAATTTAAACTTCACCTCTAGTAGTCTTGCTTTGACCTTTGTCATGTGAAACCGGAACTTTCGAGAGGAGCAACGAGCTTTGCAGTCCTTCCAAGAGCTGTGGACGACAAACAAGATCAGTAAGCGGCACAAAGATAGAGAACAAAGGAATACATCTATTTACTTACTCTTGATGTCGGCTGAATCCTCCTATTAGATCTACGAGGTTCAACAGCTTCAGAGACGGTTTTAGTTTCCTCCTCAACTTTGGGCAACTTCCCAGAAGCCGGTGCAAGTTTCCCTTTACTAATAGGTTCAGATTTAGCATTTGAGACAGAAGCTTTCTTGGGGGGTGCATCTGATGAGATAGCCATAGAAGAAAATAATGCCCGGTCCTCTGGTGCTCCATTAGAACTTGAAATCGATATGAACTCCGTGTTATGCTCTCCTGATATATTCTCAGCATCATCAGGTTCAGAACCCACATTGCTTGACAAGCTGTCCTTCTGAGGAACAGTTCTACTAGAAACCCTGGGTGCTTTTCGAGACCTGAGAACCTTTGGCTTGGATACAACCATTCGTTTATCCTTTGGTTCAGTTTTAGTTTTTGTTCCACCAGGCTCAGGTCCCCGAGGCATTGAACTTTTCATAAATTTAGCAGAATCACTTGTTTCATGAGTTCTACTGCTCTGATCTGCAACATAATGTTTGCTTACTTCCATAAACTTTCTCTTCTTTCCTGGCTCAGGAACACCAAAAATAACCCTTGAACCTTTCTTTTTTAAACCCGAACGTTTCATTCTTTGTGAAACAAGCCTACTCTCTTCCCTGGTGCATTTACCAATATTAAATATTTTTTCAGCCACAGGTAAATCCATCAATCTCGTGTCATCAGGTTTTTCGGATTCCTCATTGTCAAAACTATATGTTCCTTCGTCTTTGGAAACTACCACGGGACTTCCAATCCTCGGTCGTTTTTCCAGTGGGGTGTCACCCTGAAAGCCAGATCAACTACTTGGTACAAACAAGCCATTAAAGTATTTTCAGAGAAACATCAATCATAAAATATAAGTCAATATCACCTCAAAGGAAGAGCTGTCATCATTCCCAGAACTGGACCATTCAACCCAGTTACGATTCTTCCACACCAGAGAAGGACGTAGAAGCCATGCTTTGACAACAGACGTTTCTCCTTGAGCTGCAGTACAAATAGCAAAGAAAACCTTTAAAATTCTCAGAGTAGAGGCTGCATAGACATTAATACAGAGCAGATTACAAACAAGATTATTAATGTCGCACATACCAGGAAAATGGACAGTATACGATGTTTCATCTTTCTTGCTCCTCTCATTGACAACTCCCTCCCACCAGCTGAAAATTAAATATTTCAAGACGGTAAATCTAACATTACCCAAGTGACAATATTACTTGTATAGCTTATCTACCACTATTTACTAAACAATCTTAGCAGTTTTCACCGTTGTACAGCTAGCAAGAGTTGAGCATGCATAAGAAATTATGGATTCATCTCGTAGTATAGTTCAAGGGAAATAAGCCAAACCGCTCATGTTGCTAGTTTGGCAAGCAAATCATGACAAATTATCCTTGCACTACATTCTCATAATTCATATTGATTTTTTAATGGTTATATTATCTTCAATAGTACCATTCCTTTTTGATCCGATGCACTGCAAGAATATATAGAAAACAATGCAAGCATACCTATCTTGCATCCATGCATCAACCCTATCTCCAACGGACCAATTATAGTCCTTCATGGCACCCCTGCGTCTCTTCCTTGTTCTTTCAAATGGCATGACTGTAATAGGACGAGCATTGCGTATTCTGGGTGCTCTATTACCTTCCCCTTCAAGCTCCACCCATTCCTTTAGCCTTTCACCATCTGTAAGACCAGCAGTCAAAACAAGTTTGTTAAGAAAGCAACCTTCTTAATTTATATGTGCATGAGACGAAACCTCCAGTTATCTCCAAAGAAGATGCTTTTCACATAAGAAATTATTGCAACACACAAGATGTGTAGAAATATACATCAGAAAAGTAAGACATCCTCATTCTGTGTATTTAATTGTATTTTTTATCTCCCCACAATAGACACACACATCATGCAAGTAGAATTCTAGATTCAGAATAGAAACGATCTCATGCATTATTCCCCAAAATAAAGTGTAGTTGGCTAGACATCAACATAGGATTTATTAAAAATTAAGGTCAAGGATTGTCCGACAAATTGTCTTTATTTATTATCATCACCCAGTTGATTCGACCAAAGTAAGCTATGCGATATAGCTCACCCTCTGATCGAAGTTCATTGTAATACACATAAGCTTTGCCATCTTTCAAATCCAGAATACCAGCTGGGAACCATGCTACTTTCGAGCCTCCTCCATCCCTCAATACCTATAAATCAGAAAACGGTAAATTGTAAATGATCATATAATGAACCTAAGATCAACAAAACATGTTCAACTGCAACGCTTCCCTAAAGCAACTAAGACAAACGCAAAAACTTTCAAATGCACCAGTATATGGACATATTTCCATCAAATAAAACAGCATGTTAGAACTTAGTGAAATATAATTTACAAAAGATTAAAACCTAAACTTATATATCAAGTACAATCTACAAACCTCAACATGGGAACCTTCCCTCATATTGTTATCTTTCAAAGTTTCCTCTCCTTTCCCATGTTCAGCATTAGTGGACCTTTTGTGGCCCTTTTGTCCCGATTTATCATTTCCAATTGTAGCAGCAGCATCCAGAATCCCATCTGTCAGCCTGGAATGATCCTGCATCGACTCTCTGGCCATATCTCTAAGAATTGATGACATTTCATGGTTATTACTCTGCTTTTCACTCTTATCAATGGGAACCTCTTGTGGATGCCGGGAAAATGAACCAGGAGCCTCCACATTACCACCTTTGTCTGCATGTTCTTTGGCAGCATCATCTGGCTCAGAAACTGCATGGGATTCTTTCCAGTATGCCTCTGGACCAGCTTCTACCAATTTAGTCAATGGGAAAGGCTCACCCATAACAATTTTCCCAGCCTGTGATACTGCTTCAGCTGTCAGCTCAGCAGCCTTAACAACGGCATCCATGTTTTCGGCTTGCTTTGATGCAGCTGAAGCAGCTTCTACCCTCCTCCTAGAAGCTTCC